GGCCGCAAACCGAACTTGGCAAAGGCTCACTATTATTTCTTGCGATCTCAAACGTGAGCGTGATACCTATTTCCTTAACATATCCCACATTATCTACCTTAATTATTATTTACCGCGCATAAACCGATTACAATCAAAGCCACTAAGGTTGATAAAAACAAACCGAGTCAATTCTATTATTCCGTCATAGGATGTGGTTATACGCCTAAGATAATTTTCTACTTGCAAAGCAAAATCAACTGTTCAACAATTACGAAAAATAATACTAATAACTTGTTATAACATGCACGTCTACGACGTGAAACTGACTAATTTCATGTTTTGTCGAGGACGTGAGCACAAGACAAAGACTCTCTTTTTCTATCCCTAAACTTTGATATAGAATTACCAGTGTTTAAAGGTCAGTTTAAATAAATAGAGTATAAAGGTTTTATCCAGACCTGTCTTTGGAAATTTCCATATATTTACCAGTGTTTAAGGTCAGTTTTAATAAATAGAGTAAAGTTTTAACCACACCCGCATGTCTTTAGAAATTTCCATAGATTTGCCAGTGTTAAGGTCAATTTTAGTAAATCGAGTAAAGTTTTATCCAGACCTGTCTTTGGAAACTTCCATAGAATTACTAGTGTTGAAAGGTCGGTTTTAATAAACAGAGTAAGTTTTATCTAGACCTTAATCTTTGAAAATGTCCATAGATTTACCAGTCGGTTTAAAGGTCTGTTTTAATAAATAGACAGGAGTAAAGTTTTATCGAGATCTGTCTTTGGAAATTCCCATAGATTTACCAGGGTTAAGGTCAACTTTAGCAAATCGAGCAAAGTTTTATCCAGACCTGTCTTTAATATATTCATAGATTTACCAGTGTTAAGGTCAATTTCAATAAAAAGAGTAGCATTTTTATCCAGATCTGTCTTTGGAAAAATGTATTTTTCACGTTTTGACGAGACTCCGAACGGTGATTGTTCATCGACGGCGGATCAAGTGTGTTACTTTTAAATAGCCACTTCTCACGTTCGATTCTTTTTTTGATGTTACTTTTTGTCTAAATTTAAAGATTGATAAATGGACTTGAATTCTGTGTGGTCGCCCCTCTTCGCCCGCTAAACCGTTTTTGAGATATTTAGCGCTGAAAGTTGTGATGTGCACCAGTAATATGGCGCGAGGTGTGATTTTTTCCACGGGAAATTAAGCTAAGTCATTAAGCGCTTATGTTGTGTTTTTTCGTTATTTACAATTTAAGCCTTTTGGTGATTACATTTCCTAACTTTTCGTTTTTCTGTTGTGTACATTTTGTCATGAGCTTAAATTTAACCCGGGTTTCTTTTTCTTTTGTTTAAAAGCATTTTCTCGGATAATTTTTTTGTTACTTTTAAGAGCATCCAATCGTCAACTGGTTGACAAAAAAGAATTAAAGTGAATTTACTTTTTAAGGGGTGTCTAGAAAACGACGACCTAGAAAACGAAGACCTACGACCTAGAAAACGACGACCTAGAACACAACGACCTAGAAAACGACGACCTAGAAAACGACGACCTAAAAAAAAACCGCGGGGAGGGGGCTCAATAGAAGTGTGCGAAATGCCCCATCCCCGGACAAAACCAAAATAGCATATTCATAGCAAATCTCAGTGTAATCTTATCAAACGTGCCAAACGCCCACGCAAATCGCTCATAGCCGCTAGTTACCCCGGGCTTAAGTTATAAGTAATGTTGAGGTCAATAGGTCTACTGAATTTGCACGTGCAGCACGCTTTTTTGCACATCGTAGTACGTGCAGATGATTCTCTCAAAACCAAAATTTCTTGGATGCATTTTGGGCGCTTGCCATTCACCCAAAACTTAAGAAACTTTGGAAACAGCGGTAATTGTTACAGTATTTTCCCGGAAAAGTTCCCAGACTTCCGGAAACGTTTCCGAAATACGAACCATTCAACCAGAAATTTTAGACATTCGGGAGCAAAGTTGAGTGCGGAGAGAAAACTTCCCGATGATAATTTTCGAAAATTTCGGTATATATTGCGAAAATGCTATTCCACTCGGTACTGCATGGAAGTTGCCGAAAATTTAAAACCAGAGGTTGTGATTGAATGGAATGGCGCCCATGCAAAGGTAACCAAATTTGTTACCAATTGTGCTCCCTTTGCGCGCGCGAGAGAGCTCCACTAAAAAAGTTTCTCAAGTCAAATTTTCCTTTAGTATGGTCAATGAAGTCATGATTCAACCTGACTGACTACTGGAGGCAAAACCTTGCTTTGACCTATTTATTATCCTGATATCAATTTAAACAAATTTCCATCAAATCTAAATGACCTAAATAATATACACCGCTTCACTGGCGCGTCGTTTATAGCGGGAAGTTCAAGCCCACGTAAATCAAACAGGAAATAAATCAGGCGTGCCGTTTTTGTGTTCACAGCTCAATACCGTAAACAAACAGTTTTTATTTTGAAAATAAAGAAAGAAGGGCTTCAACATTTTCTCGTACCTTTCCATACATGAAACGGCAGCATACCGGTAACGAGAATTGTGAATTATTATGTGGGACACAATGAAGGTTGACATGTCATCAGATTTGAACTGTATTTGAACTGTAAGATTTGAATCGTATCATCCCACAATCCTAGGAGTTTCTGTTTCCTCACAGGTCCGATAGCGTGGTATATATGCAGTGAGATCTCCGGTAGAACTTTTGAATTGTTCAGAAATAAATTATTACATCATGTGAAATAGAGACAACGCCGCAGAGCAAAATTAAAAAATTTCACTTCTGTTCATCTTTAATTCTTCCATCACTTTCACGCAATGCACAATGCAATGTCCAAGACAAAACAATAGCTCCTGCGACGACACTAGGCACTCTGTAACTGCTGTTTAAAAATCCGAGAGACGGTTTTATAAACCGCGTTATGAAAATAACGCAAGAACAATAGATGTAGGTATCTCGCGGGGTACATGTAACGAAGGTTTAAGTTAATCAATAAATCAATCGAGTATCTCCGCCTAAACGTGAAAATTTCCCAAATTTTGACTTTTAGAAATACTTCGTTCCCCAAACCTCCTTTTATTAACACACTCATGAATCGCTCATGAAACTAACCCGATATACTTTTAATCAGTAAACTCTCTTGGTAAACACTTTATTGTCCACCACCCCAGCCAGTTCTAGAGGGGGAGGGTGTTTCCTTAGAAACTGGTTAGCTCAAATGACCACCAAGCTTTAATAATTATTCGATCTAAAAGAAATATATTTATAATTCGCCATCAGAACAAACACAAATCGTCTTAATCTCGTAGCTAAATTCAGAAAACTTCAATGTTAACTTACTTCTGTGGCGGGTCGTTACAACAATCGCACTTTACAGGTTAGCAAATTCTTTTAACAGATTCTTCAGGTAAGCGGATTTATAGACAGACTAAATTATTTCCTTTCTCACTTCGATTCTACTGAAAAACTGGTTTGAAACACAATAAGCTAATACAATTCTTGTCATCAAATAAATCTATCCAATAACAAACAGGCAACGCTTGTTTGATAAACGAAACAGAGGGGCGACCTCGCGTACCTTGCATTTCCATTTCCACCGTTTTATTCCTTGGCTTCATACCCTTAGCCGGTACAAATAATATTTACTATTTTTCTGTAATTTTCCTTCTTCGCCCACCTCTCACCCCTTCATAATTCCCTCCCATCGTTCTCTTATTTCCCGCCTTCTGTACCCCTCTAACCCCTTAATCCTTCGAGCTACCCCATCCCTGTCGTCGTTTTCTAGGTCGTCGTTTTCTAGGTCGTCTATTTGTACTCCATGTGGTTATTATTGCTTTAATTTCCATTTTTTCTCTTTTTTCTTCTCTTGAAAAACCGAGCTCGATAAGTCACCGAGCTCGATAAGTCATCGAGCTCGATAACTATTTTTACTTTGTCCCCCCGGAAAAGTGAGAGGCCTCGAGCTCGGTATCGACAAAGCGAGGACGGTTGACATATCGAGCTCGATAAACTCGTATCGAGCTCGGTTGCCCAGAAAACTAAACCGATCCGTCGTTTTCTAGGTCGTCGTTTTCTAGGTCGTTGTTTTCTAGGTCGTCGTTTTCTAGGTCGTTGTTTTCTAGGTCGTCGTTTTCTAGGTCGTCGTTTTCTAGGTCGTAGGTCTTCGTTTTCTAGGTCGTCGTTTTCTAGACACCCCTTTTTAAGAGCAACTCCATGCAAATATCGACCAAAGTGCGGCAAGGCTCAAAAAATAAAAATCGCTCTTCTTTTGCACACTGATAGACTTAAGTAAGTGTACAAACACCATGTAGTTTTTTCTTCGGAAGAGCTGTTCGTTTCCGAGAAAAACAAGAAAACCGTTTCAAGCCCCGCCGTCGATTTCGCAAGCCGAACACAGGGTTGAAACTCACTATGATTCGCTCGACTTGCATTTCAAAACAACCGCGCAAGAAAAAAAGCTTGTTACTAAAATTGTAAGTATAACTCGTCGTTGACCAAAATATATAATATTTTTAGCATTACAACAGTCTGAGTTAATATAAAAAAGGTAAAGCGTATGTCTACCTGTTGTTCAACCACGGAAGGTAGTTGAAAAAAGCGACGATTTTCATCATGCGCCTTTGATCAGAATTTTTCAAGATTGAAAGGGAAAATACTACAAGCATCAAACTATTATGATATGTTAAAATTATTTTGGGGAAATCATTTTGAGCTTCTCAGAAATTATTTGAAATTCGTGTTACAGACAACATAAAATAACGCCATCCAAAACATGAGTCAGACGACCACCACCAACAATTGGACTTAAGGTTTCCGTTTACAACGCTGGTAACCTTGATATATAGAACAATAATTTGAAAAAGCTCACCTTAACCTGTATCTGTTGTACTTCAAGCTCCAAGTTGTTTCATTTTGCCGTCTTATCACCTATGTTACCCTAGTCGTGATGTCCGCTGGAATGTCAGCGTTGGAGGTGCGTGACAGCTTTCGGGTAATTTCTTCATTCCTCTCTCTCCCTCATTTTCTCTAATGTTTTCAAGTTAACATCTCATGTTTGTTAAAAATTTTGAGAACCCTGGACCTTAAAAAAGCCGTCTGTAAAATAAAGCTCGCTAGTTTAACAAAGCAAAGTTGCTTGCTCGTGGATCCGTTCACTTCAATTAATCTCACTTGCATAGGAGTGTGCCGAGGGTCTACTTCCGGTGATATACACGTGACGAGCTTCACCGACTTTCACCCGTTACTTCCAGTACACTGAAGAAGATTCATCTTTTATACTCACACTCCTCCTTCTTCAAAAATACTCCAGTTGACATTATTTTACCTGAGAATTGTCTTGTTTAATATTTTGACATTTTAGGTATTTGATTAACATTATCGAATTAAATTTACTTTAATTTGATTCAACTGTTCATTCCCACTTGAAAAAGAAAAAGATCTTTGCATAAACACTGTTTGTGTGCGCTCTTCTTCGATGAAGCTATGGAAGGTTCGTGCTCCTTCGAGTCATTAGTAGGTACTCTGTGTTCGTTTGATAGAAGGGATAAGCAGAGATCAACTGAGATTGTTCCTTTGTCGTTGTCAAACTATTACGGACGTAACTGGNGCGCTCTTCTTCGATGAAGCTATGGAAGGTTCGTGCTCCTTCGAGTCATTAGTAGGTACTCTGTGTTCGTTTGATAGAAGGGATAAGCAGAGATCAACTGAGATTGTTCCTTTGTCGTTGTCAAACTATTACGGACGTAACTGGGCATAGGTCGACATGGTCTCTTTCTAGTATTGAAAGCGAAACAAACTTTACTTTAGCTCAGAACTGACCAGTCAGACCATTCCCGTCGCAATGATAATTTCCCTTTTAATCAAACTCTTCAGCTGGATCAGTCAAATCCGAAATAGTATGCTCGAAAGAGAACGTTTTTCAGCAAAAACTCTTGGAAAAATCCTATTTCATTTTCAAAATGACTGGTCGGGCTATGGTCCGGCCGGCCAGTTCTGACAAATCGAAAGCGCCCTAAGTTCCTTTAATATATGCCCTTTCCATCGTTCTGAGCTCGGTATTGGATGGCGATGGAACAGTTATTCCAATTCGTGCCAAGTTCCAAAGGAAATCGCCCATCACATAATTGAAAGAAGAGGGAAACCTGTTATAGCCGACAAAAGAGTAAGAGGAAGACCATTTCAGAATATATCTATCAGCAAACCGGTATCCTCATTCCTGTAGGTTCAGGTATTCTTGGTTTATTTACTGTATTATATTCTAATAAGTAACTTAGATTCAATCCGCGAATACTGTATAAAGTTTTTCATAGTTGTCAACTCTCTTAGATAACGCAGAGTCTCCTGGGTACGGTACCAATCCACCTAATCTGTCCTATAAAATACAACCTTTCAGTTTTTCTCTTAGTTTGAAATTAAACCCGATTTACCCCAGAGTAAATAATCTTTTTTGTAATTTAAAGATCATAGTCCAGTTCTGATGGCATTTGTTGTTGTCGTTTTATTTTATTTATTTATTTATTTTTTCATTTACTTCAAACGACTGACTTGTACTTCATTCAAGATAACGTGTGGGGATATGGCGTCGGATAGAACTCAACGATTCCACATTCGTACAGCAAAAGAAGTGGTCGATACAGCTCTAGGAGAGATTGCGCCAGAAGACGCTGAAAAATTCTGGGTATCCTTAGTTCAATCTCTGAATTCTATCTCAGCAGACCAATGACGAAGCCATTGACTTCAAGCTCAGTAGCAGATGCGCTTGCAGAATGTTACAAGAACGCAGCTCACTGAAGATCACGAAGAGAAATCTTATCTATTAGGGACGGACCATTAGAAAAGTTATGGGAGGGGGTGGGGAATTTTTGAGCCGCAGAAATTTTTTTCGTTATCAAATTCATTGTATGAATTTCAGTTTTAGGCCATAGCATGAATATTTTTTAGGGTTAATTGGCGTGCATGAATTTTTTTTTCATTTAATTTTCCCTTGCGCGAATATTTTTTTTTGTACTTCGCCCGCCCACCGCCCATAAGTTTCATTATTATTATTACTATTATTATTAATGGTCCGTCCCTTATTTCACTGAGACAAAATGAATTTCGAAACCTTGTAAAACTGGCTTTCTGGTCTTATTCGGTACAGGTTAAAGATCGCAAGGTACCATCGGATCCTTCATGGCCGAGATTCTGTTGTCTCCGCTGTTTCTTCCAGAAGAATCCTCCAAAGAAATTTTTTTTTGGAAATTGTCTTATTTCAAATGTACTAACAAAAAAAAAGTAAATAATGTTTGTTTCAATTCACGAAAAGTGACATTTAGCACAGCAGAAATTACATTTGTCCTTTATTAAGAAGGCACTCTGAAATAACGCACGTGCATGCGCAGGCCAGGATTACCCACGTGCAGCCAACAACTGGAAGTTCCACCTGTGAAGATGGGAAGAAAACATGTACACAATTTTTTGTTAAGACATCTTTTGATTTGATAATGCCGACGTCTCGAAGCAATGAAATCTTCAGCGAGGCTATTAATTAAATTCTTCATTTTCAAAAATTTTATATTATACGCATGTTTTACGTTTGCTTTTCGCCTGCTTTTAGCGGACCCAGACCCCGGGCCCCGGGATCTTGACAGCTGTAATCTGATATTACTGTTGAAAGTAATTTGCATACTGAGTCACAAAACGTTCGCATGGGCGCTTTATCCTTCAGATTGGCGCTTCCTTCTGCGGTGTCAAGCAGCAATTTGATACAAAAGTTGTTAACAGATAAGGAAGAGAGGGTTTACTACGTGTTGAATTAACATAAGCGAACTTGTTAGGAAGCATGCGTGTTGGTTTATATGAATCTCAAACAGAGTTTAATATAGAATGGCAAACTTGAACAGATGGCAACAGGAAACATTTTGCCGTAAAACTAGACCTAAAATAATTTCTGGGAAGCTCAAAATGATTTCCCCAAAATATTTTGTACATAACATAAACGTTTGATGCCTGTAGTGTATTTCCCTTCAATCTGAAAAAATTCTAATTAAAGGCACATGATGAAAATCGTCGCTGTTTTCAACGACCTTTCGTGGGTAAACATCAAGTAGCCGTAACGCTTTAGCTTTTTTATAATTACTCAGACTGTTGTAATACTAAAAATATTATATATTTTGATCAATGAAGAGTTAAACTTAAAATTTAAGCAATAAGTTTTTTTCCTAGCGCGGTTGTATTGGAACGCGAGTCCAGCGAATCATGATGAATTTCAACCCTGTTTTTGGTTTGCGAAATCGACGGTGGGGCTTGAAACGGTTTTCTTCGCTTTCCTCGGAAACGAACAGATCTTTCGAAGAAAAAACTTCATAGCGTTTGTACACTTACTAAAGTCTACCAGTCTGCAAAATAAGAGCGATTTTTATTTTTTGAGCCTTGCCACGAATCGGCGATTTTGGTCGATATTTGCATGGATTCGCTCTTAAGCTTTCATATCTGAATTAAAATTTCCACTAACCCTGGGTTATCTTAACCCAGCATTGAACAACCCAGCCTTGGGGATAACGCTGTATCATGAGTGCAATTAGCTTGGAAGTTTATAACAAATTGCAACCCTGGCTCCATAGAGTTCAACAGTTGGCTGGCTTCCCGACTAATTCTTTATTCTTTATTTCATTTTATTTTATTTCTAGATTTTACTGCAAAAAATAGCTTCAGCTTTTTCCCTTGCTCAATTTCGCCAAGGAATTCGACTCTCATTTGTTATTGCTAGAACCAAACTAGCTAACAGTAAGATGTAAACTACAAGACTCCTTTCCCTCAGTGGTTATGCATAATGAAATCTATACTTACTGTACATTCTTCTGAAAGATTGTGCCCTAAGAATAACATAAATGCAGACAACCATAGCTTACAAGGTGAGAAAAAACTTCATCTGCCTGCCGTCAATTGATCGATGTAGCCAATAGAAAAATCCCCTTCTAATTTAAGACACCTAAACAAACTGAAATATCTGATATAACTAAAATACACTGATATGCTTAAATCTAAGTTAAAAGCTACAAAAATGTGATGTTGGTTACTCAGCAGTCCGGGCCACAACCAGAACTGGATATATGATGACGTCACCCAAATTTTCAACATGGCGCCCAAACCAAGGGACACGAATCAGTGTCGCTTTTCAGCTCTTTGCTAC